TCAGGAAAGAGACACATCCTTGGACATGATTTGATAGAGCCCACATTGTCCAAATTGATTACAGAACTGACCCCCACAAAAGGAACATTTCCAACGTAGTTTTATATTTTGTTGTTTTACATATTCCATGGTTGTAAAAATGCATGTTTGTACATTATTGTCATTTCCTTGAGTGTGATATGAAAACTCAGTACATAATACTGTACTTACAGGAAATCACAGCTCAGCTTACAATATCTTGGCTTGTGGCTCCTTGAACCAGTGGGGTTATATGTTGGGAATGTTAGCACTCATATTTGCTTGAACATTTCTTTTAGCATTGCTTGTGATCTTTAAAGCAAAGATTTTATATTATATGTTGTGTTTAAGATTTGCTTATTACTCTCAGTATGCTGCAAAAATAAATCCAAGTTGCTCAATGTGGCTCCAATTCATTCCTGTTCATTGCTCCACAGTATTGTATTGTATGAATGTACCACAATTAATTTATCTGCTCTTTATTCAACATACATTTTCTAGTATTTTTTTTCTGTCAAGAGCAGTGTGGCTATGGAGATTCTTGTCAATCTCATCTTGTTCACATTTGTAAGATTGTCTCTAGCTAAGGTATACACCTAAGGATAGAATTGCTAGGTTGAATGGTATGAACATCAACTTTACAAGATAATGCAATTTTTTTTCAAAGTGATTGTTTTAGTCAATTTTATGTCACTGTGACCAAAAGACCTGACAAGAACAAGGTAGAGGAAGAAAAATTATTTTGGCTTATGGTTTCAGAGGTTCAGTCCATAGTTGGCTGACCCCATAACTCTGGGCCCAAGGTGAAGAAGAACATTACAGCAGAAGGGTATGGAGGGGAAAATCAGCTCAGGACATGGCAATAAGGAAGCAGAGGGAGAGTTCTGCTCACTTGGGACAAAATGTAAACCCAAAGGCATGCTCATAATGACTGATTTCTTTCAGCTACAACCTCGCCTAAATTTACCACCCAGTTAATCTATATCAGTGGATTAATCCAATAATTAGGTTATACTCCACAATCTAATCATTTCACCTCTGAAAATTCTTGCACTGTCTTACATATGAGTTTTTCTTTTTGGAGGGGGGACACCTCACATCTAAACCATAGCAACAATTATACCAATTTATATTCCCACAAGCAATATGTAGGAGTTCCTACTGATCTGCATCTGCTATCTTTGGTATTGTCAGTAATCTTCATTTTTATTAACACGTATGCAGAAAATGGGATCTCATTTGGTTTTGGTTTGTATTTCCCTGATTTATCATAAACCTGAGCTCTTGGAATTTTTATTGCTCATATGTGGTTCCTGTGAAGTGATTGTTTATGTTCTTTTTGTTCTCTCAGCTTCAGTTTTATCTTTTCACTTCCAGTGTTCAGATAATAATGAATATGGTATGGGATTTAATTGGATACTATATTCAAAGCACCTGGCTCAGTGTCTGTCACATGGTAGATCTTTAATAGAACTGTTTTTCCTCTTTTCCTCTTGGTTCCTGAGGTTACTTCCGTTCCCCTCACCCCCATACCTTTTTTAGATCCTTCCTCTCTCTTTCTCCTTGCTTCTCCCTTGGTTACCTGTTTCCCTCCCATCTTCTTTTACTCCTTCCTTTCTTCTTCCTTTTATCACACCAACCCCAGAGTCCTTCTCTAATATTTCAGCTCAGTGTCTGAAGCTCTGTAATCTATCTATATGGACCTTCCAAGGAACTAGAGGGTACCTACCTCCTATTGAACTGATAAGAAACCTGCTTGATGAGACCACTGCTATTTTTCCTTATTGTGAAATACTTCTACTTGGTCTTCAACCATATTTTGTTGACATTCACCTAGGCTATGACCAGAGACCCACCGCCCATCCCCTCTCTTTTCTCACTGCACTGGGGATGGAACTCAGGGGCACTCTACCAACTGAATTACATGCCCAGACTTTTTTATTTTTTTTATGTCGAGACAGGGTCTAGCTAAGTTGCTTAGGGCCTCGCTAAATTGACCAGGCTGGCTTTCAACTTGTGTTCCTCTTGCCCCAAGTTCCCAAGTCACTTGGATTAAAGGCATGTGTCACCAAGCCTGTCTTCCTTTTTCTTTTGTCCTGTGCCTACTCCTCGTTATCAGTATCAATTAGGGGATCAGTTTCCCAAAGGCTTCTTTCATTTCTGTCCTGTGCTATAATAAATGTTCAGACATGCCTATGTCCCATATTAGGGCTATGGCCAGAATAATTTAAGTCAGGACTTTTGCAAACGTTATTGTACCTGCCAAAATGCAAACTCTGATCCAAGCCATCTGGATGAGCTCTGAGAAAATGCATGTCTAACAAACTCTCAGGTGATGCAGCTGATGCTGGTCTGCAAACCACACTTTGAGGAGCAAAGATCTCAGTAATTTCTGGAGGTTTCTTCCAGGTCTAGATGTCCATGATTTGTAAACAACTGTAATGTTCTATTATGCAATCACTCTGCTATCCTTTCTCAGTATTCTCTCTGGTTTATTAGTGATTCATTCATTTCTTTAGCAAATGTGTTCTGAGCACTTACACCGTGGCTGGCACTCAATAATTTAGAGCCATATCAATGGACAAAGAAATACTTCTGTATTTATGGAACTACTACAGGTTAAGTGTGTCTCCTAAATAAAGAATAAATGGCATATATTCTTTTATACTATCTCTGTGCTATTCCATAAAGTAGCACTTTCAATTGTTTCTAAATATTTTAAATATTTCTAAACTAATTTGATGACAAAGATAAATAGCACTACTCTTTTTTTTACCCTTGGCTTTATATGCTGTTCTTTTCTTTAATGCAATTTTAAATTTCATTAGGATTAAAAAATACTTAAACCATTTGCAATATTGTCTTGTTTAGGATGAAAAACTTGTACCTTTTGGTTGCTAATCGAATAAAGCCGTGAAGAAAAAGCATGCTGAAACCCTTAAAAATAAACTTTTTTTTTTTTTTTTGGTAAAGGAGAATTTGATTTCTATATCTCTTCAAGTTTCCTTTCAGAATGACACCCCGTTTATTATTTTGCTTCTATTTTTCACAACAGGAAGTAATTCTTAATAAATCTTAATATTCAGGACGTCCCTCCGTGCATTTCTTTCCACAACACACTTCAAGGCAAAGCTTTTGAAGAGAAGAGAACTTCAAAGTTGGACTCTAAGCTTTTGAAGTGGATCTACCCTGAGACCGATTTTTCAGAAAGAGAGAATTATATGTCTATTCTCTTGTGCTTCACACATGATAGAGAAGAAATTTGTAGTGACAAATAGTACCTCCATCAAGCTCTAAAGAACTTAAGCCAATAAACACAGTATTCAAGTGGTTTAGTTTAAGATTTTGGCGTTAGTAAAATGTGTTATAAAAGGAAGTTTAGAGATTCATTTACTTTTGAGCAGCATGGATTAAAACAGCTGTTTAATTTGCAAATGTGGTTTGGCAGATAAAAAAGACTGGGAAAACACAAATCTAACATAGTTCAACTAACCCGTCGTCTCACACTCAGGTTTATCTATTCTTTAATATGTGTTTAAAATATGATCAAATGACCTTTGAAATTGAATACAAGAATAAAAAGAGATTATCAAGAAAGTAAAAACACAAGATAGCTGGCCTTGGTGTTGCTTACCTGTAATTCCAGATACTTAAGAAGGTAGCAAGTTCAGGGTAACACAAGGACAACCTGTTGAAAGACAAACAAGAAAAACAAAAGTATTTGTGGGCTAATGTGTGACACTTATTTTAACTGTGCGACAGATTTCCTTGATTTTTAAATAAAGTTGGAATTTTTTTAGAGCTTTTAAAACAATAAATATTTACAATAATCAATGACATGTAAGGTGGGAAAAAGTTCTGAAAACTCAATGTCTTTTTTTTTTTTTTTTGGTACTGGGGATTGAACCCAGAGGTGCTTACCCACTGAGCCACATCTGCAGCCCTTTTTATATTTTATTTAGAGACAGGGTCTCACCAGGTTGCTAAACGCCTCTCTAAGTTGTTGAGGCTATTTTGAACTCACGATCCTCGTGCCTCAGCCTCCTGAACTGTTGGGATTACAGGCAGGCAACACTGTGCCTGGCTAAAAACTCAGTGTCTTTTATTTTTTAATTAGTAGTTTCCAAGTAAGGATAGAGGAGTTCAATAAAAAGGGAATATAAAAGATAACTTTAGGACAGGTAAGTATTGTAACATTCATTCAGGCATTATTTAGGACACAGTTTTATTTTGTCACTTCTGAATAGGTCTTTTTGCTTCAATTCTCTCTAGTTTCTAAAACTGGAGTAAATAAACTGTATTTTATTAAACTAATTTTAAATTCCTCTAGCTTACTCCTGTTGGCTTGAGAACCTCAATTTCTCCGTGTTGTATTGGCCAAGCAGGTGTCTCACTTTAGCCCAGCTTTGAGAGGGAGGAAAAGACTTCACTCCTTGATGGGGAACAGGGTGCTTGTCGAGGGAGGGAAGTATTGGTGGCAGCTGACTGGATGTAAGCCATCTCAAAAAATCTTGTCTTGTATGATACGTGAATCAACTATCACAAGACCTTGGTGGTCATCATCTATCATTCTGCACTGATTTTTTTTTTAATAGATGCTCACATGGCTTCTCCTGAGTAACCTTTTGAGGAGGAGGGTTTCTGGGCTTAATTCTCCTACATTTTGAAAAACAAAAGTTCACTGTTGCAAGGAACTGAATAGAAGCAAAAAATATTTCAAATAAATTAATTTAGAAGCTTCAACATTATAATTGGTATTTGTTACACACTTAAAAAAAAACCTTGTCCTTGAAATCATGTTATCTGCTGGTAATAATTTCATTAGTAAAACACAGCTATCGTTCTGAAGTCCATTCTTTAAACTTTTAATAAAAACTATTAAAGTCTGAACACAAATTTTCATAATTAACATCTATCAAATGTGTTTGAAGTTAAAATACTAGGAGTTGCTAGTTGCTGGGGACCCAGAGCCTGCCAAGTCTATGGCTCTATTTTTTAGAAAACTAATATCATTCATGATTCTCTAGAGGACCAATAAGAAGGGAGAATTTGGGCCTCAAGAGATTTGAAGCAGATACATTAAGAAGTTAGCATTTTGCTAAGCCAGAGAATATCGACTCATTTGCCTGAATGAATTTATAATCAATGCCGTGCACCACGTTCCAGATGTTGTTGTTTACCTTTCCAGACTCAGAAACCAGAGGGTGCTTAACTTCTGTTACTCTGTACTCATGGCATTGCTGCTTTGGCTGCCAGTAATCAGCAGGTGTTCAACCAGGCAGTGAAGATTGGGAAAGGGCAAGCAGTAACCCTAAAAATGAATGCCACCTTGTGCCAGTTGTCAAAGTTATAAGCTGTCAATGCTATTAAAAGATCAGCCTAGGAAGAGATTTATCATAGAATCTTCAACTCAGGCCCATTTTCCACTCAAACAAGGTGAATCCTCTCCCACATGTCATCTGATCTCCCAAAGCCAGGACTCCCCCATTTATCTGTCATTTCTCATGCTCTTGGTTGCCCTGAACTGGCACTATCTGGGCAGTCTTTCTTCTAAAACAGAAGACTATGTTCAACCAGAGAATATCGATCTGACTTTTTCTGGAATCTGAAGTTTGCTGTGAAACGGATTTACCTTGAAAGATGGATGTTGGTTTCCCTTTATTGTTTTTCTCCTACTTCAACCCCCAGTAGAATTCTGTGTGCTCAGACCTTTAGAAACTGTGAAGTGTAGCTAGAAGCCTATAAAAATAACAGGAAAGGATGTCTCATCCTCAGCCGCCTGGTATTGTGAGTGGTGGTCTCTTCTGCCTCTGTGGTCAGTAACAGGACACTGCTGCGGTTTAGAGGCAGTGGTTGCCTGTGGGACTGTCACAGATCACATTCAGGGGGAATTATGGCTGGAATCATGGTTAAACACATTTCATTTACCTATGGTAGTAGAAAATGAAATGAATTTTCTTTCTGTGTGGATCCTATTTTTCTCATAAGTTAGTTTTAATTGGTTTGAATGTAGTAGATAGGACTATGTATCATTTTGGGTAACATCTCCACGTTTCTAAGAATGCAGGCTGACCCTCTGCATGTCCAGGCTGGCAAAACAGTTCTGTGTGTTCTGGTGCTTTTTTTTCTCATAGTCTGAAACCGGTTGGTCCTTGAGGTCCATTCACTGTTTATAACATACACGATCAAGTATGATCTCAACTATTCAGCGTGTAAGACTGTGAAGACAAACTGTTATAATGTTATTTTATAGATGGGAAAAATGAGGCTTAGATATAATTTTTTTTCCCAAGGAGAAAAAAAAGCATAGTGTCTTGCACAAAAATAAAACTAGTGAACAGAGGTAGCAAGAAACACTTTCTCTACTGCTGAAGTTCACAACTATCAACTCTTGATCTCTGCTTTCTGATTTCTCCACATCATTAAGTGCTAAAGTTTATTAATTATTTGTTTATTTATCAACAAATATTTAGTTAGTGCCTAGTACTTTGTTAGGAGGTTGAAATACTTCGATCTTTCTTTTTCATTATTGTCTCAAGATTTAAGAAAACATATCCCTCAATATTTCTTGTTTGAAAGAAATAAAGCAGAAGTTCACTGGCATCTGATTGAAGTTTTATTTTTATTTTTAATTTTCATGTCAGGTCTGGGGTGGGTGCGATTAAATTTTGGGGAAAACCAGTTACTTGAAATTCGCTGAGACATGACCTTGTCAATTTTGTTGGCAAATTTTCTCCTTGATAAGGAAAGGTCAAGGCCTGCTCATATCCACAGCCAGAATGATCTCTTTGTATCCTGGAGGACATGGCCTTCTCAACTCCAAAGCAAGTCATAAATTCAAGTTGGAAAAGGACTTGAGAGGAAGAACCTTCCCTAGGCTGTTGTACTATGGAAATTGACATACAAGTGACATGTGTCATATGAAGAGTAACAATGTATTTGGGGAAGAGTGACATTATTTCTCAATGTTTTCTAACTTCCTTGATTTTTAAAATATACTTTTAATTTTTCTTTGTAAAACTAAGACACACAATACAAGTCTTAACACTAATGCTACCTTTTGCATTTACCATTTCTTTTATAACTGTGATGCTTTTCTGAGAAGAAGCACTTAGGATGGGGTAGGGGTTGGGGTAGAAAGTGTATCATTAATGTGTTGTTAGCGTTAAATGAATTAGGGTACATCTATACAATATTTTTGAGAAAATAAAGACAAAGAAAATGTTCATGATATAAATGAAAATTTAAAAAAATGAGGAGACAATACCATACTATAGCTTGAGATCACAAGGCTAGAAACAACAGACTGGAATGAATTAAAAAAAAAAAAACCCTCATCAATTGGTTATCTCTGGGTAGAAATGCTCACTGTGATTTCAATCTCCTAGTACCTTCCAATGTTTCTAAACTCTCTCTGTTGATCATGTATTATTAATACCCAGAGAAAAGATCCCTCAGGAGAAATGATATATATTTTTTGCCTTGACCAACTAGATTTCTATTATGTTCTGATCTAGTTAAAATCTGTCTCCATAAACCTCATTGACTTCACTGTTTTGTTGTTCTTTTACCCCATTAGTGAATTGTGCATAATCATAGAGTACTACCCAAGGGGAGATGGGAACTGATGAGACACTTACCAACATCCCGAGAGAGAAACAAGAGCAAAGAAAACCAGGAGCCCAGTAGGAAAACCAGAGGAAGAACCAGGCAAAAATTCAGGAGTCCCATTTCAGCATGTACAGCAATGAGATATTTCCCATTCACACTCTTGCTCTTTTTCTTTGCCTATTTCCCCCCTTTTCCTTCCTTTCTCTTATTCATCCTTTCTTTTCTCTTTCAATCCTCTCTTCCTTTAGAATCATGATAATAATCACACCTGTTGTGGGTTGAGCATCTGCCACAGGCACTGCCACACAGGTCATTTTATAAGGGGCAGGACCAGTGTTCCAATTTATGTTCTTTTTTTTAAAAAAAAATTTCTTTTATAGCTGTAGATGGACAGCATGCCTTTGTTTATTTTTATGTGGTGCTGAGGATCGAACCCGGTGCCTCACACATGCTAGGCAGGAGCTCTGCCACTGAGCTACAGCCCCAGCCCTGAATCTATGTCCTTTGGACTCTCCCACTTGCTTTTTCCTATATTACCTTGCCTCTATATTTAAATCCAAGGGAAAAGAAGACTACTATTTTTCTTTTGTTGATGTTGTTAACAATATAGGAAAAGGTAGGATTGCAAAAATGTATTTGTGATACTTTCATGTCATTTGATTTTTTTTTAAACAAAAAGAAATCCAAACCCCAAATCAACATATCTTCCAGGTTTTTCAGTGTCAAATCCTTTTGCAATATGTGAAACCTAGACCCAGATATAATCATCAGAATCAAAATATGACTATAAGCTGGAAAAGTCAAATGCATAAGCTGTTGGGATAAAAAATATAACCACAAGGGATAGGCTATTTAAATTCTTTTTTTTTTCTAAGTAGCTTGCATTCATTATATACTTAGCTATAATTCTTTTCAGCTGAGGTTAAATTAGTAGAAATTTCCTACTCGTTGTGGTGGTGGTGTTAAATCAAAAGGCAATTTGTATTTTGTTAAAGATTGAAGGTGCTTCAAGGCTTCCCTGCCCAAATGTGGCAGAGATTTAGCATCAGCAGCCAACCCCACTCTCTTGGCTGTGTTTTCTTGTTCAGTAAATTACAAACAAATTTGCAACTTTGCTTATTATGTTAGTATTTCAACAATGATGACTGTCATTTACTGGGGAATCTAATCTTTTGGAAGTCTTTCTGTCAAGCTTTCTGGAGAAAATAAATTGTGTTGGTTACTACAAAGCTTAATTAGAGCTCAACTAATTGGCAATTCACATCTAAAACTTGATTACATATGGCATCTGTTGTTTTTGTTGGTAGCTTTTAGAATAATTTATTGAGGTGAGATTCACATAATACAAAATGAACTGTTTTAAATCAAACAGCTCAGTGGCATTCAGTATAATCGCAATGTTGTAAAACCATCAGTCCTGGCTGGTTCTAAAACATTCCCATCACTCCAAATAACCCCCCTGATTTATTTATCTATTTTTGGCACTGGGGAATTGAACCCACAGGGGCTTAACCACTGGGTCACATCCCCACAGCTTTTTAAAATATTTTACTTAGAGATTGGGTCTCACTGAATTGCTTAGGTTCTTGCTAAGTTGCTGAGGCTGGCTTTGAACTTGCAATTCTCCTGCATCAGGCTCCTGAGCCATGGAGATTACAGGCGTTGACCACTGCACCTGGCAAAACTCCTTATTTATTAAGCTGGTTATCCTCATTCCTAGTTTTCCTCAGCCCACAGCAACCTCACTTTGCATTAATTTTTTTTTGTAGTTGTAGATGAACAGCATGCCTTTATTTTATTTTTTAATGTGGTGCTAAGGATCTAACCCAGTGCCTCAAATGTGCTAGGCAAGCGCTGTGCCACTTAGCTACAGTCCCAACCTTTACTTTGCATTTTTTTTCTCCATGGATGCATCTATTCTAGATAATTTATATAAATGGATTCATAAAATGTGTGTCCTTTTGTGTCACTTATTATTATATGTTGAAGTTTTATGTATGGTAGCATTATCAGGACTTTGTTTATTTTTATGGCTGAATAATATTCCATCATATGGCTATTTCAGTTTGTTTAACCATTTGTCTGTTGAAGAATATTTGGGCCATTCCTAATACCTTTTGGCTATTGTAGTAGTTTTCTGTCACTGTAACAAACACCTTAATTAATCAACTTATAAAGAGAAAAGGTTTTGTTGTGCATAGCTTTAGAGGTTTCAATACATGATTTTTTTTTTTAAAGAGAGAGAATTTTAATATTTATTTATTTATTTCTTAGTTTTCGGCAGACACAACATCTTTGTATGTGGTGCTGAGGATCGAACACCGGGCCCCATGCATGCCAGGTGAGCGTGCTACGGCTTGAGCCACATCCCCAGCCCTCAATACATGATTGATTTGCCTGATTCTTTTGGGCCTGTGGTGAGATAGCACATCATGGTGGTAGGATAGAGTGCAGCAAACCACTCACCTCATGGTCAGGAAGCTAAAAGAAAGAAGAGACTTCGGTTCCCCAATCCATTTGTGGGCATGCCCCCAGAAACTGAAGGACCTCCCACTTAGGCCCCACTGCTTAAAAGCTCCACCACCTACTCTTGGACCCACAAGCTAGAAATAGAGCTGTTTATTTGTCACTAATATATTATTTGGGCTTTGGGGGGACATTTAAGACCAAACCACAGCAGCTATTGTGAATAGTGCTGCTATGGTGTTTTTAAAAATTGTGTTTTTTTTTTTTCTTTTTTTAATTAAAGTCATGTAGACAAATAGTTTCAACAGTCAAATAGTCCTCCAACACCTCCCAGGAGAAGCAGCAATTCCCTGAACAATTCTCAAGCCACTTGGCTGCTTTGTTTTCCTATTGCCTAAAAGTTGGGAATATAGCTATTGAGGCCCTGGGTGGTCTTTGGGAATTGTTTTGCTCCCTCCTGATAGTTCTTTCTCACCTCGTAGGCACCTGCCAATCAGTCGACAGCCTTAGGTCTCCAGGGCTCAGTTTCTCT